TAGCACATTTATTTGCCTGACGTTTCGTCATCCGTCGCGGATTCATCATCAGAGACATGTGTAGGAAACAGTAGCAGAAACGGGTTTCTGACACAAAAACTTGCCTAGAGAAAAGAGGATGAGTAAGCGCAGCAGTAGCGAGTGCAGCCTCCCACAAGTCGAAAGCTAGACCCGAACCCTGAACTCACAACGCACACTGATGAGACTGGCCATATTAATGACCTTCAGAGGGCGACTATCTTCGACTACGGTACTTCAACGGATCACTAACACTTAAGGCACGGTATTTAGGTGCCAACTCCATCAACAGAAATCTTACGGCCTAATAAAATCCTAAATCATTACAGGAGTAAAGACCAGGAGAAGACTTCCAGACAGAAGACAGCACAGACATGGCCCGTCAACCAAAAACAACTCCGCAACGGCACAACCACCTTCCATTCAGGTCTAACAGGCCAAGCGACTGAGTGGATTGTTTAAATGCATGGAATTCGGCACTTTTGGCGCGAACCCAGGATGGAGGTGATGTGATCAGGTGCCACTGAAGATGCCGGCGCCCTTTCCCGGCACAGCCGCTGATGCCCATCCCAAAACTTACAGTCGCCGCATTTCGTACCGTTTCCCCTCACCCTATTTCAGCATCCCCGCCCATGCAGTCGCTCCCACCGCTGCGCTCCCCACCGATAATCGAAGGAACATGAGAGGACACCTCCCCCTGTTATGAATAGCTCGCGTCGAAGTGAACTTTTCTGAAGTCCCGCAGCCGTTGATCTCGACGTCTGGAAAGAGCCGATCACAGTTGCCGCATAGATGCCTTCTGGGGTGGAGACGAATAGTAAGCCTGTACGCGTGAACGCTTGCTCTCTGGGCCGCGGAGATTTCCTGCAACTATGCCGGACTTCGGATCACGCCGCTCTGGCGGAAGGTCATTCTCTCCGTAGTCAACCTCCTCCCCTATTATTCTTCGTCACTCGGTGTATACAATATACCATTCCCACTACTCTGGCCTCGACCGACTTCTTCTGCAATAAGTAACCATGGTCTGAAGATCGCAGTTGCTAGGGTTTAACTTACTTAAACCCCTGCGATACCCCCACTCCAAATAGGATGTGTATCTATGTAACGCCCTTTTCTCTCACGTACTATTTACTTGTCCTGTACGTGTAAGTTTGTTACTAATAGATCACTGTCCATACCGTCTTAGTCTCTTGTAACCGGACATTCACGCTTTTGTTCTTCATATGGCACTTATCGATCCAGTTTAGAGCTCCCACTGATGAAACGTCTTCAGGTCTCTCATCCACTCCTGTGCGTGTGTGCCAATCTCAAGTCTTCACCCGCTACACAGGTGATGACTCATAAGGCATAAAACTGCCGAGCTCGCGAACGTTCGCCGAAAGGCCGAAACAGAGAAGGACGGAAAAAATCGATAAGCTCGAGCGTGCCGTTTTTATAGGGGTGAGCCGACTAAGCACTCCAAAGCTTCATTGGATTTTTTCGCAGCAGACCTCTTAAGCTGGAAAACCTTCAGCTGTCCAGTCGTGGTCTAGGAAGAAACTGGGGATAAACGCCCTTGCGAGTGCGCTAGTATTACTCAGTTCAAATGAGATCAAAAGTTTCATTTATGCTATGCCCCCTTTCATATGCAGGCCTTCTGTCGTGACTGGACTATCTTGGGACTAATAATACTAATACTAAGTCCCCACCCGGGTAAAGATCTTTGGTAAGACTTTTTTTGTGAAGCCGCCTTATGGTGAAAGTCCAATCGCCCAAGTTTCTTACGTAATTCGTGGTTAAAAGAAAATAGAAGGATGGGGCACAGAGAGCAATTAAATTCGCTTGTAATTGTTTTACCTAACTAAAATATAGGCGAAAAGTTTGTAGAAAGAACAAAAAGACCGAAAAGGAAGCCTATGGATCAAGAAAATTATTAGGACAACTCCTATTGGCTGGTATAATTAGAAAAGTGTTTCGTTAGGCGGAAATTCGACCTAATCTAAATGTGGAACTTGTTTTATTATTATTGATCACAGGCAAAAGCGGCCTCACATGAAAACCCTACCATCTCTTCAAACGAAAGTATATTTAGGGAAGCTTTGGCAGTTTATTAAATCTGTCTCAGTGAACCCCTTCTCAGAAGAAATATCTGGAACGATTATTCAGACGCAATGTGGTGCGCTGCTTTATAGAAAGTTAGTCTAGAGATTGACATTCTGACCTCAACTTCCCCAACTCCCCCCCCCCCCCC